CTAGGCAGCAGTTGAAAGGTTAAACTCTTTCCAAACCCCTTCGGTAACTGTTCGAAAACATCTCTCCTTCCTACGATGTTCTCGATAATTACTTTTGTTCAGATTTTAATTTGCTAACCGGAAACACAGCTAAGCTTTCTGTAAGCGCTTGCTGGAGGTCGTCCACGAACTTAACGTTCTCTGCAACCTTAGCCATATTGTGAAAGACTTTACAGCTGACAAAGCTAAGGTTAGATTTTGTCGCGCAAAGGAAGCTACGTAAGAATAAGCGCCAGTTGCTCGGCATACCTGCGTGGCCCGTGCGACGAAACAACTTCACGAGATTGGCAAAGTTTCAGTTACAGCAAATTGTACAAAAAATCTAGAAAGATTTAAGCTTGCATCTCGTTTAAKCTTTAAAGTGACATATCAAGGCCTGCAATCATCGTGTTTTATACGAACCTCGCAAACTTTTAAACACGTTCTCTTGTGATACCTGCGAAAGTATTCAGTATAATATCCGGTGAGATTTTTGCGGACAATCTGATCGATTTCTCTTACATTGTGAGCTGAGACTGAAACTTTTCACCCAGGGCAAAGCTTCGTTGCACGGCCCAAACAAAGATAACGAGCAACAGAGCTTCTTGTTATATGTCCGTATTATTACACTCGAAAGGACTCCAAAGCACACTTCACTCTGACTGGGCAGAAAAACAATAAGATTTTCTAGCACCAATCAGATGCCAAAACGACTGCGACCGTTTGGAACTAGTCTTGTAAGACGATGTCCCCAGGGGCTCTTCTACCCTTAACTTGAAATCGACTCACAGCCCCTGGGTCTCCGAGGATGGACTAAAATGAGTACGCGGATGTTTCCGCAAAAGTGGTAAGTGACATGTGTATTCATTAAATGGCGTCGTTTAAAGAGACTAGAAACTTATTTTTGGAATGTTATATTGATGCAATTATTGACGAAGACGATTTTATGCTCCTCTATGACATTAATCAGTCAAAAAATCCCGAGTTTCCACACGAAAACTACGAACTCTTTAACATGGATGCCTTGGACGCGGTCGAGTGAGTAGCTGACTTTCGTGTCGAAAAACAAGATATTCCAAGGTTTGCTGATGCTTTGGGTATCCCTCCGGATGACGAATGCGACGAGACCCGACGAGGACGTCGACTGCTAAACAGCAATTTCGACGACGTCCTCCCAGGCGACGTCATCCTTGCGTAAGGTCTCTAATGTGAAGGAAAAGTGGTAGCACCCAAATGTGGAAAAACTCACAGCGGAGCGACCGTTGCAGACGAAATGCTGGAGCATTTCGTACATTTTCGTACATTTTGTACGTTTGGATGTTCCCAAACGGATCAGCTGGTTCGGCTTCCTCAACAAATGGTGCGTTTCCTTATTTTTAATCTTATTATAGTATGAATACAACAATAATGAATACTCTTTGACCTTCAGAACAATTCGTAACATTACATTACAATTGTAACTTGGGACAACCGTTACGTGTGGTTGAGTATATAAGAGAAGCGCTACGGGTGCTCGCGAATGCACTTTGAAATATGCAAATGTTGCAAAAGAGAACCCTAAGATCAGTAGGGTTGATATCGGTACTATGAAAAAGATAAGTATAAAATAGCTAAGTAGGTAGTGTATTTCCATAAAGCAGAAAAGCAGAAGATTTGAAAGCAACAGAAATCAGATATTTTTGAAAAGAAACAAACTACATGATCGATCGATATACAATACAGCTGAATACCGATGAAATCTCGATTCTCGTTCAAAGAAGTGTCTATGGAGAAAGGAAA